CAGAGCCCGCGGGGTGGGGCCGCCTGTGCCTGGCTGCCGTGTTGGAACTGAGATCTCACGGAACGAGCCACCCAGGCCCGGGCGTTTGGGTCAGGTGTAGCTGCCTCTCTCTCCCCTCCCTTCCCCTCCCCTCCCCTCCCTTCCCAGAGGTGGGTGTTGACCTAGGGGCATTCTGCGGGCCTAAGGGGCCCTCAGGTTTTTGACAGTTAAAAAACGTATAAATATTTCTTAACCACGGAAACAAAAGCCTTTGGGTTTATTTTGGGATAGTTAGGAGCTGGGATACAATATAATTTTTCCAAGGATTTATAAACAAAAAGTGTACGCCCTCTATTTTGAGATGTGGAAAACACTCCATATTGTGTTCTGGGAAAAGTACAAAGGCAATTTGCATTAAGCCGTCAGAGCATGCCTGGGACGTCGCTGTGCAGCGAAGAAGCGCCTGCTCCGTTCGGGTGACGTCCAGCATCATGGGAAGCAGCCCCGGGCGGCGCCCCCTCGGTCCTGCCAAGTACGGGGCATGGGCTGGAGCGAGTAACCATCCCCCTCTCTCGTTCCCGGGCCAGGCGTCCCCGACCTGGCGGCCCCTAAACTTGGGGTTTCACGCTAACCCAGCCCGGCCTTGCTCTGTGTGGACTCGGCGAAGACCATGGAGGTCCCCGCCGGACGCAGCGCATAGTGTGACCGTCGTCCCTCCTCCTGCGCCCTCCCTCACAGCACTGCAGGAACAGAAAGCTGCCAAAAGCGTTCTTCAACTTTCCCTGTGACCCATCTCACTTGCTCTCTCCCTCCGACCGTCAGTATTAAATAGATGACAGAACACCGAGGACTACTTGAAGCAATCTGTTACCGCTCTGGTCGCCGCAGTTGCCGCCTGTCGACCTGGGCGTGCCCAGTGTGGTGGTCTCTCTGCCCCGGGCCTCGTCCCTCCCTCCTCCGTCCCCGCAGCTGACAGCTCCCATCCCTGGGCTCGGAGGAGTCGGCCCTTCTTCCCACCAGAGGTGCGCCCCGTGCACCTGGGGCACCCGGCACGCAAGCGCCTGAGCTCTCGTGGGATTGGAAGTCTGTTGTTGCTATTTATGATGTATGAAAAATGGAACATGATGCCCTTCCTTGAGATAGATATGTTTATTTTTAAAGTTCCTAAATGTGTCTCGTCTAACTACCGCATGCACTGTTCTGGAAAAGAGCCTTCACCACCCGGAACCTGAATTTTGGTTATCCTTCCTCTTCTTGCTTCTTCAGTTTGAAGTTAAGGAAATACCCAGCCTCCTGCTGAGGCGGAGTCTTTCCTGTTACACGATACGGAACCTCACGCCACTGCCGCATGGGTCCTGGGCAGCCCCGGGCTCCAACTCGGAGCGTCGTTCCGAGAGGCAGCTAAAGGGAGCGGGATTCTCGCCTCCCTGGTTTGGTTCTGGATTGACCCGAGAAAAGGAAGCTTTTAAACTCTCCAGAGTGATGATGGTTCACGAGCACGCGTGAGGTTGCGCACCCCGCAGCCACCTGCCGCCTCGCTCACGGTCCCGAGGAGGAGCGAACGTGAAGCCGTCGGGAGCCTGAGTTCCCGAGTCTGCTGGAGGAGAGCCCGTGGACGTTTGCACCGGGCGGGGCTGCTGGTGCTGGGCCCGAGCGTGGCCGTCCCGTCTGGGCTCCAGCGCTCTGGCAGTCGGGGACACAGGGCCTTGGCTGGCACCCTCGCCTGCTCCAGAGTGTTGGCCCTACACCGTTGGGAAGACCACCCGAGCTCGCGGAGTGGTCTTGGCGCAGAGGCATGGCTGGGAGCACATCTGGGCAGGCATCCTCCTTCCCACGCCCGGGGGTTCTCAGCAGACGACGAACTACTCATGGGGGTCACTTTATGGAAACGAGGCGAGGGACAGTGGGTGTTAAGAGACTTTATCGTTTTTCTCAGGGACCTGAAACCTGAATTTGGGTAAAACTAAATAAAGAATACTTGTTTTTCGATTGCTAGATTTGTGAATTTTTAGTTATTTGACAAGTTGCCAGGATGGGGTGGGAAGGGGTAGCCTGGAGCGACCCCCCCGGTTGTAAGAGTGGAGAGTCGGCGGGCACCCTCCGACGGGAGGAAGGCAGTCGTCCTCCCGGGGCACAGGTGGCACGGCCCAGGAAAAAGGTGAAGCCGTGGCAGGGCCGTCACCACTGAGCAGTGCTGCCCCCGCCACTCAGGGTGCCGTGTCTGACTCCGGCCATGTCCACCGTGCTCCCCTGCCTCGGCATACGGTGCTCGAGCTCCAGCCTGGTGTACCCTGCCCTCTCGCATCCCGTGTCGCCCTGTCGAGGCCTACGCGTCCCAGACACAGAAGGCAGGAGAGGCAGGTGGTTTCTTTCTGTGTGAAACCAAGTGGGTCCGCAACGGGCACCAGCAGGGTCCATGGAGCCGTGTGCTATCCTCAGCGTGTCTGCGCCTCCTGCCCGTTCATCACTGGCCACCGGAAACAGACGTGCCGCCCTGCCACTACGAGCTCGTGAAGAGGTGCCTTGAGACCTGCCCCGGCTGCCCCGCAGGGAGTCCCCAGGCTGCGGCTCTGTGCTCGCCACATGTCCAAGGTGGGGCCACCAAGTTGCTGCAGAGAGGCCCCCAAGTGGGGCCTGCGGTGCCCCCCAGGCCTTCCACAAGCATGTGGTGGCCGGGAGTGCAGAAGGACTCAGGATGTGCTCGAGGCTCAGCTGTATTTTAAAGAGACACAGCACAGGTGGCTTTCCTCGTCCTCTTTCTCCCGGAGGGCAGTGAGACACGACGTGCGTCATTCTGTACTGACAGATGTGCCCCGTCCACGTCCTCCTGTGGCAGTTCCCCAGCACCGTCCCCAACACCAGGCTACCCCTGGTGGTCAAATCCCTTGGCGTCCGTGGGAGTCCTCCACCTCTCTCTGCCCCTGCAGCCGCATCTGGACCCACTCCCACGTTTGATTCGGTGTTAAAAGGGTAACAGCGAAACGACAGCTGTGCAGATGGACCTGGCAGGTCTGGCCGGCCTCCGGGTTGGAACCGCTTTCAGAAAAGCCCAGCAGCGGCCGTCACCTCACCATGCATCCACACGGAACGCCTGCTTGTCAGCCCGCCTAGACCACGTGGAAGCCGCACCTTCGAACCAAGTGTGTGTGCTTACTGGGACAGGGCGCCCTGCAGTCTGCTGCTGTGTCATTTCAATAAAATCATTTGCTATAAGTACACTGAGTGTGAGTTTTTAAAGGCTATTGTAGAAAGACACCCTGGGAACCAGACGGTCAGCTGTGCTGAGTAGACTGATGCTGTAAGAGGGGTGATCTCTGTCCCGGACTGGAAGCATGCCCGACGCCATCGGCAGGCCCTCTGCGAGGGAGCGGGACCTTCGGGTGCCCGGCGCGTCTGATGTGTGTGGTCTGTTCCCTGACCTCCGCCCCCGCCCACCCCGACTTCCTTCAGCCCAGCCCTGAGGGCGCCGACACTTAGTTACTCTGATGTGCTTTTCTTAGGATTTATTTCATTTTAACTACTTGCTTATTTATCTTTAACGTGACCAGAGCGGGGCAGCGAGAGAGCGGAAGCCAGGTGGAGCCCGAGTGCCCGTGCTTGCAGCGAGCACCTCGGCCACAGTCTTTTTCCTGCTGGCTTTCCCTGGCTTCCTTTTGACTGAACGCGAACAAAGTAAGTGCACGCGTCCCGAGTGCGCGGCGCAGTGCGTTTCCTATGGACACGTCTGAGGCCAGCACTCTGCTCAAATTAAAGAGCGTTTCTGGTGCAGCGGACGCCTCCTTGAGCCCCTCCCCAGTCGGTCCCTTCCCAGCCTCCCAGAGGCAACACTCTCCCGACTAACGCCAGGACCCACTGGTCCTCGGCTTTTAGACTTGCTTGTCCGGCTTCTGCTTTCCTTTTTCTCCAGGGCACTTACGCACTTATGAAACGGCAGCCCCGGGGGAAGACGGTCCAGCAGTCCCTTCTCCATTCTCCTTTTGGGGTTTTGGGCATGCACACACACAGCCTCCAGGCTAGGGTTCGCACTGTGCCGGCAGCCATCGTGCCGGGGCCTCTCTGAAACACGCCCGCATCCTGACATGTTGCGGTAGTTTGTTTCTCATTACGTGGACTCTGTCATCAACCTAGTTCCGGGCTGTTGTGAGGAAGTGCCAGCGAGTCTCGGGATCTGTTGGTGAGCTTCTGTCCTAGGTGCACGGAGCTGCACGTGGTGCCGCCGGGCTGCTGTTGCCCTGTGAACGCCCCTGCATCCCCACTAGTGTGTGAACATATCACAAAGGAGCTTCTCCATGGGCGTGTTGCCTATGGTCTTGCGGAAGAAGAGGAGCTCGGTGCGCTCAGAGGTGATGAGCCTCAGGGACGGGAGGAGCAGGAGCAGTTTCCCAAACCTGGACAGCAGAGCGGGCACGTCAGCTCCCTCACCTCCCAGGGTGTCCTCGGGGCAGTGCCCTCCCAGGACAGGCCCCCTTCACTAGAGCAGGCCCCCGCCGTGGCTTAGGAGTTCATGGAAATAGTGAAGAGGTACTTTCCATTGTGTGCAGAGGGTATCGGAGAGGAGTTACCTCTTCGTTTATATGAGTATGCATCGTATGTATTAATGATACTGGTTTTTTTTTTGAGAGATTTTCACTGTAGGGCGCGTGCGCTCGCCAGACAGACAGAGAGAGACATTAGAGACAGAAAGCGAGAAATCACCCCCCAGGGGGGATGGTCACGCCGCAATCCCTTCTCCTCCATTCTCCTCTCGGGATCTTGGGCACGCACGCACACGCGCCCGGCGTGAGTTTTAAGCCACCGGGTCCGGGACACGAACCGCGGTCGACCCCGTGGGAGTCAAGCGACCTAGCCATTACGCTAACTGCTGGTTCCCTTTTAGAGATTTTTTGCTACAGGTCATGTGCGTTGGCCAGAGAGACAGAAAGTGAGAAGTCACCCGCCTCCCCCGGGAGTTGGCCACTCCCCAATCCCTTCTCTATTCTCTTGGGATTTGGGGCACGAATGCACACCCTTCTGCCCTGAGTTTTAAGCCACTGGGTTTGGGACTCGAACCATAGTCGACTACATGGGAGTCCAGCGATGTAACCATTCCACCATCTCTGGGCCCGCATTACCATATTTATAGGATGAGTTGATGCATAAGAGTAGCAGTTCCTGGCCGGCCTCCGCGGCACTAGCATGCTAGCCTGCAGGGCTGGAAGCATGGGGCCACCGTGGGTCCCATCCCCAGCCAGCTGCAAACCTGCCAGGTGCTGGCGGGCTGTAGCAGGGCGTGCCGGCCCAAGACCCTGTCAGGGCCTGTCTGCCTCCCTCTCGGGTGCGTGCATGTGTGCTCTTTGCATGAATAAAACAGCTACAGCTTTTCAGAACGTTGGAAACTACGTAAGAGGCCAGTAGCCATTACTGGAGTGTTCCGGAGCAGAAGGGTGGTTTCGTGGCTAGGCTACCCAAGGGAGGAGGGGAGGAGGGATGGAGGGTCACCTCACGGGCTGGCCGGGGTGGTGGGCCTTGCTGTGCTGGCTCAGCATCGCTTGGGACTGGTCCTGCAAGGCCTCCACCTGCTCGGGGTCCTTCAGGCCCCGCGTCTCTGGGGAGAAGCAGCCAGTGAACTGCCTGGCTGGGCCTGGCCCGCCCCTGCCCCTCAGTCAGGCCAGGAGGGGTCTCCGGAGAATCCGGCCCAGCCCAGGCCCCCTCCCTGCTACCCCGCGTGGGGTAGGGAGCGCCAGAGGTCACATCGGTTCCATTCTGTCTGCATCCCCCACCCTCCCCATCTCCGCCTGGGGCAAAGGCCCAGCTACCTGGCTTAAAGAGGACCAGGGCCTTCATGCAGGCGAACTCCGTGGGGTCCACCGCCAGCGCCCGGAACCGGCAGACCGTCTCCTGCAGGACGCGCATCTCGGCGCTGGCCAGCGCCAGGTGGGCCTGTGACCTGCTGGCTGCAGGGGCCTGGGGCGCAGCCAGCAGCGGGCAGCTGGGGGCGCAGCCAGCAGCTGGCAGCTGTCCAGGGGCAGCGACCACTGGATGGCCCCGAGGAGGAAGAGTTCACTCCACGCCTCTTCCAGCAGGATCACCTGTGTGCTCAGACAGGGCGGGTGACGCCAGACGCTGCACCTCGGCCCCGCTGCAGCCACCGCTCACATGTCCCAGGAGAGGAAGCGCTGGTCACAGATGCCACCCTAACGGCCAACCCGCTGCCTAGTCCCAAGACTTTCCTGGGTTCCACGCAGAGCTGCAGGCGGGGCATCGGGAAAGCCTCCAGCCGGGGAAGTGGGGCGGCCTCAGAGACACCGAGCAGGCCCCAGGCGGTGCGTGTGAGGGACAGCCTGACTTGACTGAGCAGCCAGGCCCGCTCAGGCCCTCGGCTTGCCACCCCTCCTACTCCTACCGTCTAAAGAGGTCCCGCTTGCCCCTTAGCCAGGGTACCGGGCCACCCAAGCCCTGCTGTCCAGGAACCTGTGCCCGCCCGCGGCGCCTGGAGTTGGTCTCTCCGCCCGGGGCTGCGAGCTGAGGGTCTGTCTAGGAGGAGGGAGGGCCTCAGGACCCCAGGCACAGGACGCTGCCCTGGATCCCTGGTCTTGGGCCTCACCGTCCCCTGTGCACCCCACTGTCGCCATGCCCAGGCACGTCCGCCAGCTCTCACTGATGGCAGCTGGGCGCGCCTCTGTCCGCCAGCCCAGCGCCCGCAGGCGGATGAGGGTTACCTGGTCCCGGAAAGGAAGGTTGGAGAACACGGGCAGGTTCTTGGCCCACTTGACAGCCATGAAGAGCAGGCGAGCTGAAGCCTCGTGCACGCTATCCAGGCCGCGTGGGGACGAGGGGAACTCAGGGTCATTGCTGGTCACATCGATGTTGTCATCAGCTGTGCGGAGGGAGCCCTCAGCGCCAGCTCTGCCCCAGTGGCAGGGAGGCCTGGAGGGGTGAGGGTCAACGGGGGATGAGGAGCCGGGGAGACCAGCCGGCCATCGCCACCTGCCTTACCATCCTCCGGCTCCAGCTTAGCGCAGGTTTCCGCAGTTATAAGGCTGGCCAGGAAGTGGTGGCCCGAGGCCCTGGCTGCAGAGACTGGCATGGGCCCCTGGGCGCTGGGCCCTGCCGAGACGGGGGTTGCCACCAGGACCTCGGGCCGGGGCCGGGTGTCCACCTCCAGGCTGTGCAGGCGGACCTGGGCTGTGCTCCGGGGCTGGCGTTCGTTCTGCACGGCTGGGGAGGCAGGCCAGTCAGTGCGGGTGGGGGCCGCACGGCCCCCCTGCCGCCCTGGGCGCCAGCTCACCGTCCTGGTTCATGCCCGCCTGCAGGCACTTCTTCAGCCGGCAGGCCTGGCACTGGTTGCGATGGGCCTTGTCCACTGGGCACGTGCCGGCCCCCACCTGGCACCTGCAGGGACAGAGGGTCCTGCCAGGCCCAGACCTCGGGCTGGCATCTGACCCTCCCAGCCCTTCCTCCCGGCACGCACTCCCGGCACCGGCACCGGCACCGGCACCGGGCCCACCTGTAGGTGAGCCGCCTCCTCACGCTCCTCTTGAAGAAGCCGCTGCAGCCGTTGCAGGCATAGATGCCGTAGTGCTTCCCGCTGCTGCTGTCGCCACACACGCGGCACCGCGGCGATGGCGAGGGGCCTGCACCTGGGGCAGAAGGGCTGAGCGCACTGCACCCTCCACCCCGCATCCCGCCCGCTGCCTTCCAGACCCCTGCCCTGCCTCACTTCCCAAAGCCCTCCTCCCCCAAACATCCATGACACCCCTCGGGGCTCTTGGCCAGGGGCTCGCCTCTGTTCTTCCCTTCCCCACCCACTGAGCTCTCCGGCCCTGGCCGGCTGGCCGTGTTTCTGGGGCTCCCTCATGCCCACAGCCGGGACTGGGCAACATGTCCTGGTCCCTGCTGCTCCGGCCCCTGCTCTGCACCTAGCCCTGTCCCTGCAGGCCCAGCCTTGCCCCCGCAGAAGCCAGACCTGCCCGGTCCTCCCACAGGCCCCACCTACCTGGAGAGCCCTTCACAGAGATAGCGACAC